GACAGTCCAGTTTCTCCCCGCATGAGTCCTGGGTCCCCAGAGACTTCCCGGAACCGGAGTTCAGAGCCGTCGGGAGCTTGTGACTCCCTCCGGATTCAAAAAGACAGCCGCGTCCTCGGGTGCCAGCCCCTTTCCGCGCGCGCGAGCCCCGTACCTCTGCGCTTCACTTCTGCAGCTTCTCTGGGTCTCAGTGTGCCTTTCCTTCCTTCTAGTTGTAGAATTTACAGTCAGCCAGGCTTCCTGTGGTTCTGGATGATGTCCGTATTGTTTTTCTGAGGTATTAATCAATTGTTGTGAGCGGCCTTAATTTCCCGGTGTTTATCTCTGCCGCCATCTTAGTTTCTCCAAGTTTTTATTTTCTTATTCTTTCTTTGTATCTTTCCCTTCCTCTAAATTACATTACTTTTATTGTGTTTCAAAAATCTCTTCTTTTATTAGGCTACCTTCTGATATCTTTGTATTTACATAATTGTGGCTAAATATTTTGCATAATTTGTAGTTAAAAGCACTGTGCCCAGTAATAACTCATGATTGAATGGAAAAAGCTAAGCTCTGAAATTGGAGTCCCAGATTTCCCTTTCAACTCTTCAACCAGCAATAACCTAACCTCTCCGGCCTCATTTATCGTGTATTTTCCTACTTGTGAAAATCACATTAAACCATATTTGAAAAGTTAAAAAGGCCATTTAAACTTTAAACAACTCTCACTACTTGCTGCAATGTTGTAACAACAAAATCCGGCATTCAAACATTCAGGTATTGGCCTGGGCATTATTGCCCCAACTTTAAAATTTGTATTAATGCTGACGAGATTACTGTAAATTGAGATTCCTACTGGTAGACATTTCTTCAGTGGTAGAAATAACTGCAGTATGAGACATCACCACCACCCCAAAAAAGAAAAAAACACTTCTGGATGGTTTTTAATTTGCAGTTTCATAATCTTGTTCACTCTTGGCGTTTTGTTTTTTTTAATTTCTTTAATTTTAATTGTTCCCTACAGATTGTGGGAATCAGCATCACTTAATGATTAAGAGCATAGACTCTGCAGCAGTTCTCAACCTGTGGGTCGTGACCCCTTTGGCAGTCAAACGACCCTTTCACAGGGGTCGCCTAAGACCATCCTGCATATCAGATATTTACATTACGGTTCATAACAGTAGCAACATTACAGTTATGAAGTAGCAACGAAAATAATTTTATGGTTGTACTTAAAGGGCCAGAAGGTTGAGAACCGCTGGCATAGAGTCTAGAACTACAGTTGTTGCATTTAAGTTCTCATGTTGTCACTGTGAGCTCTGTAAATATGGGAACATTAGCTTTCCTCTCTGTGCCCCAGGTTCCTCATATCTAAAAGGAGATAATTGTACCTATATATAAGTTGTGAGGATTAAATAAATTATATGTGGAAAGTATTTAGAGCAGTGCTAGGTACAGAGTGAATGTTATATAACTATTATTCTTGTTATTATTGCTATTGCTGCTATTATTAATATATTTCCTTTATCTGACAAAGTTACTTTTGGAGTGACAGTACATACTCATGAATATGTATACAGTAGATCCTCAGGTTACATTGGAGATCCGTTCCTACTGCATGACATAATGCAATTTTCACCATAAGTTGGAACCTGCCTACATAAGCACCTACGTCACTCACATGGAGCACATACACAGCAGTAATTAAGTGAAACAGTAAAAAAAAAATTTAAAAGAAAGATAACAATTCCTGACCTTTACTTGTGGTAAATAAATAATAAAAACATAAAGCACATATGTACATACGTCGAAATGAGGAACTTTTTTTTTAAGTAAATAAATGGGAGATGGCGACGTAACTACAAAACGACGTAACCCGAGGACTGCCTGTATATATATATATTTTTTTGTAATATATTTTATTGATTTTTTACAGAGAGGAGGGGAGAGGGATAGAGAGTTAGAAACATCGATGAGAGAGAAACATTGATCAGCTGCCTTCTGCACACTCCCCACTGGGTATGTGCCCGCAACCAAGGTACATGCCCTTAACCAAAATCGAACTTGGGACCCCTGAGTCCGCAGGCCGATGCTCTATCCACTGAGCCAAACCGGCTAGGGCCTGCCTGTATATTATTTCCATCATTTAAATGGAACATCTATAAGATTGATGGATTTATATATTCCTTTTTTATAAGGTCCACTATCAAACAGATTTTCAGTTGTTTTCACATTTATTATGTGTTTCTACAAATGTGCACGTGAGCATTCCAAACACATAACCAATATTTCTTGTTTGTTTATTAATTTTAGAGAGAGCGGTGGTGGGAGGAAAACATTCCTTTATTATTCCACTGATTTATGCATTCATCAGTTGATTCTTGTGCCCTGACTGAGGATCAAACTCGCAACCTTGGCTTATTGGGATGATGCTCTAACCAACTGAGCTACCCGGCCAGTGCCATACCAGTATTTCTGAAATTCAACCTTGGAACTATAAGGGAATTAACATTTTCCATATATTACCATATTTAATTTTTGCAACCAGTTGAAATTTATACTATTATTTTTATTATTTTATAGATGGAAAGGAAGTAAATAAGTAACAGAGCTGGAATTCAAATCTAATTATGTTTGATTTTTTTTGGCTTTGGTTGTGCATATTTTAATCACTTTCTGATAAAGAATAAGGTCAGTCTAAAACTAAATATTGCATACCACGCCAAACTTTGCCATAAGCAAAAGTAATGATTTCAAACAGAAAAATATCACTATTAGTAATAGTCAGTATATATAAATTATAACTTTTTAAAATAGTCCACAAATTTTACATATTTTTTCATTTTAATCCACATAACTAAATTTTGATGTTTAACAATTATCTTGGATTCTGAAACACATATTCTTTACCATTAATCGCCATGTATTCTTTACCACATTTAAATATACTGCTTCCCTGAAGGATTCAAGTGAATGTAGGCCTAAGAATTTGATTTCCTTTTTTAGTATTTGTACTTAATTTTTTTTACCCTAGCTCCATTTTCAAAATGCCCACCCCTCTCTTTCTAAGACTCACACTCATCTCAGTCTCAATTCATCTGAACTCCAAACTCCATTCCCAAATAAAAGAAAGTGCTCCATTGTTCCCACTTCAAAAAAAAATGTGTATATGTGGTACTTTGTATATTAATAATTTAAATGAATTGTGTATTTTGTTCTTTTTTTCTTAGCTCATGCTTGATACATGGAATGAGTCCATCTTTTCAAATATAAAAAACAGACTCCAAGATAGTGCAATGAAGCTGGTACATGCTGAACGATTAGGAGAAGCTTTTGATTCTCAGCTGGTCATTGGAGTAAGAGAATCCTATGGTATGTTCTGAACTTTTATGATCATAATTTCCTTTTCATGCAAATTCTAAGACAATCATAGAGTAGTGCTAGCAAAAGTATGTTTATTAGCACAAGTAACATCTACTTTTAGTGCCAAATGCTTTTCCGAGTACACAAAAGGTATTCTGCTTTAAAGAAACCTACAAAAATTAATATTTGAGTGGTGAATATTTATTTTCTCCATTTATTGGTTGGTGAATGTTTTTAGCAACTTAAATTAAAGAAGTGTAGATTTGAATCTATAGCTTATAAATTAACTGGTATAGTACTTATATACTTAGGATGTAAGTTAATTTCATATGTATATTTGTCTCCAGTCTTTTCTGTTTCTGACAATGACATTCTCATTTGTTCTTTCAATCAGATATTCCTCTGACTAGAATATTCTTCCTCCTCCCATTTTATCTTCTTACTTATTCTCATCTTCTATTTCCTCATGCAGCCCTTTCCTAATACCCAGACTAAGGTGGGCCCTCTCATAGTGCTTTATAGTACCTACTAGAGGCCCGGTGCATGAAATTCCTCGGCTGCCGGCACCGGCTTCCCTCTGGCACCTGGGGCCTGGGCTTCCCTCGCAGTCCCAGCTTTGTCCGGAAGGACATCTGGTCTAATTAGCATATTATGCTTTTATTATAATAGATGCCTCCTTGTCATTCTACTTTCAAGCAATTAACTGTGTTGTTGACATTGTATTTTTGCTGAACATGGAATGCCTGGCACAAAATGGTTGTCATCAAGAATTTCTTATATTAATGAACCTTTAGTTACCATTGACTTGCTTTCTTCATTGCCCTCATATTTCTTTAGGTATCAAATCTAAATTTTCATTAGCCAAGTCCCTATTCATTCCTTTTTTTTTTTGCATTTTTTTGCAAATATATATATATATATATATATA